GCTTCTCAGAGGTAATCTATAGCGATCCCGGGTTTACCCTTGTTGTACAGTGATCCGGGCATGTGTCCGTGGTTGAGGGTAGTTGTTTATTATCTTGTTTGCATCCTTTTTACTTCGTATTTGAGTTATAGGATGTGTTGGGCAGGTTTGTTACAGGTTGGTTGAGTTTAGAAACCAAAACTAGTTGCCCAGATTTTGGCCTGTCCGCTCGAGCGGATTATTTTGAGGACGTTACATAATCTTTTCCTCTTCTTTTCATGTATTCTTATTTCATCACTTTATCAGTTATAGATCCAATTCTAAAAACAGTTTTCAAGTTAACAGAGTAAAAAGTGCTACTTGGTCAACAAATATTTTAATTGAAGCATAGATTTCATATTTCAAGAACTAATAAATTAACATAATTAAAACATGAAAACCAAAATCCCACAAAATGCATGCATTGAAAACTATTAATGTGAGGTAATTAGTTTTCTATCTCTATGTATATATAATGACTATTTTAATATAATACCTTTGTTCATATAATGAGAATGGTAAAATTGTTTTTTTAAGACTTTCATTTTTTAGGAATGTTCTGTCACTTGGTTTGTTGCACAAGGAGCCATTAACAAATAGCATTCACACAATCAGTTGGTGTGGAATCCACTTCAATGATTATATAATGAATATTTTATTTAATAGCATTGGTACCCAATTTGTATACATATCATCGGTACCCAATTTCTTGCTCACTGTAGAACTGATGAGTGTTTTTTTGAGGTATATAAATTTGTACTCTATTCTCTGTTAGTTGCAATATTGATCTTTTGCCAATACTTAACATGTGAAATTCAACGGTGCAATACTTAATTGATGTGGTGTTATCAGATTGGTGGAGAAAGCTTGAGAATTTATAAGCGTGAGATTCAAGAAAATGTTTTCAAAATTGTTGGCATTTCCCCTGAGCAGGTGAGGAGACACTTAACGAATACTGGTTGGGTTGCTCAATTATTAATTACTAGGGCTAAGTTTTATCTCTTACGTTGTAAATTATTTTTATATTCCCATCTAATGCAATATGTAAGTACCAAATTGGAGAAAGTATACGTAGATTTTTTGAATTACCTGATATTAATATTATCATGGTTTTCATACTTCTATGGGCTAAAATTTTCATTGTACTACTAACAATCATCAATATATTTTCATGCATTGAGCAATTCTTCAAGATATTGGATCATTGTGGTGTGCACACTACATTGAATTGAAACACATGTGATGTTGGCACTTTGGAAAATAGTTCTTGGCAAGTTTTGGGTAGATCACTGTGGTTTGCACATTACTTTCTGATTTTTATTTTCTTTTTAGTTAAAATATTTTTGAAATGATAGATACAGCCACATATATTTACCATTTAAAGGTGAGTTCCAATTGGACACCACTTGGAACTTTTGAATTTCCTTAGATTGATGTGTTAATACTTATTGCTCCCAATGAAAGGAATAGCCGAATGTTAAATCTAGAAACTATTGACCCAAATACAGGCTGAAGCAAAATTTGGCTATCTTTTGGAGGCTTTAGATATGGGTGCTCCTCCACTTGGTATGAACTGCTAGCTTATATCTAACATAACAGCAAATTACTATCATTTTGGGATAATTTATTCACTGTCATGCATATTTAAACCTATATGCACTATTGATGAACACAAGGATTTTTTAATACTAGGATGTCCAACTACTGCTCATCTATCTATATTTCTGAGTTCTCTTGAACATTATTTGGACCATGGCCTCAGGCCAACATATAGTTATCTAATATTGGAATCGCCTAGACTGGAATTAAGACTGCTCATCTGTCTTTTTTTTTACTTTCGATTTTTCTCTTTCTCTGTAATTGGTGTATAATTAAGCTTTAGCAAGAGAGAAATGTAATATGAAGAGTCTGAGACTTAAGTTTAGGAAAGTGAAATGAGTGTTGTAACTAACTAATACTGTAATATTACTAAGACTTAAGTGTAATATGTTTATGAGTTTGCCAATCATACATTTTGCTTAACTAACTGATATAATTTTCCTACTAAACTTTGGGCTTTGATACACTTCAATTTTGCACAATGGGAGTGAGCGGCGGTGTATGATTTTTCCTTTCATGCCTTTTCTTTTTAAACATTAGAGATGGTTTGTTAATATTGCAATCACGGAGATTATATTCTTTTCTAATTTTAGCTTAAGTTCAAATGAGACCAACCTCTTCAATTAGAACAAGAAAGATTGATAACTTCAAGAATATTAGTGTGATGCTATAAGAAAGGAACAATTTTCTCCAAAATTATTTTGTGAATAAATAAAAGATTAGATAGGAGAAGATTAAACTCAATATAATTTCCTCCGTGCTTTTAGACATGAGCATACACTAGAAAATGCTAGTTTTCAAATCCACTTCAAATGTTGGTTTTCAAACCCACTAGAAAGTGGGTTTAAATTTTTTATTTTTATTTCTTATTTTTTATTTTTTATTTTTTATGTTTTTTCAAATCCACCCTTTTTGGAAAATGTTTTTTTTTTTGGTGGATAAATTTAAACTCAAAATTTAAATGGAGTTTAAATTGAGTTCTATTAAAAAAAATGGTGAATTTAAATTTGTATGAAAATTGAGTTTAAATTGAGTTTATGAGTTATGTTTATGTAGAAAATGCTTTTTTTTTTTGTGTGTGTAGATAAATTTGAGCTCAAAATTTAAATTAGGTTTAAATTAGGTTATCTTAAAAAAATGATCACAAAAGTAAATTTTGAGAAAGTGAAGAAATAATGGGAGTTATTGTTTGTTGGACAAACTACTAAATTGAAATTCTTAAACAACATGATAATTATTTATTTGGTAATATTATATATATCAATGCGTATAAACAATAGAATAATTAAAATTCCACGACTTTTGAGAAATCATAATATTGTATTTATTATTATTTTTATTTTTAAAATCTTAATTTATTTAGCTTTTATTGTTTGTTGGACAAACTACTAAATTGAAATTCTTAAACAACATGATAATTATTTATTTGGTAATATTATATATATCAATGCGTATAAACAATAGAATAATTAAAATTCCACGACTTTTGAGAAATCATAATATTGTATTTATTATTATTTTTATTTTTAAAATCTTAATTTATTTAGCTTTTATTGTTTGTTGGACAAACTACTAAATTGAAATTCTTAAACAACATGATAATTATTTATTTGGTAATATTATATATATCAATGCGTATAAACAATAGAATAATTAAAATTCCACGACTTTTGAGAAATCATAATATTGTATTTATTATTATTTTTATTTTTAAAATCTTAATTTATTTAGCTTTTATTGTTTGTTGGACAAACTACTAAATTGAAATTCTTAAACAACATGATAATTATTTATTTGGTAATATTATATATATCAATGCGTATAAACAATAGAATAATTAAAATTCCACGACTTTTGAGAAATCATAATATTGTATTTATTATTATTTTTATTTTTAAAATCTTAATTTATTTAGCTTTTCTTGTTTGTTGGACAAACTACTAAATTGAAATTCTTAAACAATATGATAATTATTTATTTGGTAGTATTATATATATCAATGGGTATAAACAATAGAATAATTATTTGTTTGCCAGCAATGGGAGTATTTCGATGCTTCTCTGTGAGCTGCATCACCGTAGTTTTAGGTTATTTCGTTGTTATTTTATTTGAGTTTTATAAAACTTATGATACAAGTAAAATTGTTACAATTTTTTAAAAAGAATAGTATTTCTTTATATTTTTTCAATAATTTTGTCAAAAAAATTATAGACTTCATAATAAATTTTAATATGATACGTATTAATTATAACTGTATTTTAATCACAACATTATTTATACCGTGCCTTCAGGCACGGACATACCCTAATATATATATATATATATATACTAGAAAGTATGCATTCGAAATGGCATTTATAGAATCCAGAGACGTACTTGAAATCTACAGTAACACTTACATAAAGGTAATTTAAAGATGAGAAAAGTTAATACAAAAGTTTTCCACATAATATTGATATACTCATTCCAAATTCCAAAGACGTGCTTGAAATCTACTGTTACACTTACATAAAGGTAATTTGTAGACAAAAAAAAGTTAATACAAACGATTTCAAGATAACATAGATATACTCATTCCAAAACAGCTTTGTGCCCCATTTTTTACCTTTCTCAAAATAAAAATATTTTTTCTCATGCAATTCATTGTAAGTTTCCAGTGTACTGATTAGAGAAATGGTAAATTTTGAATTTGAACTCATGTAATATAACCCCCATCAGGTAACATACAAGAAAACTAATATATATATATATAGAAAAAAAATCTTAAGATTTGAGCCTTATAAAAAAATAAATATGAATTCTTAATTTTATCAATTTAAATTATGATCTTTTAATTTGTTTTAAACTTAAATCATTTGCCTATTTTCGTTAATTTAAACTCTCCAAAAAGTATACTTTAGTCATTAAACTCAATAAAAGCGGATATTTTACATATATTTTTTGAAAAATTACATTGAGTTTAATGGCTAAAATACTATTTTTCATTCAATTTTACTTAAAAGGAAGTAGATAAATGGTTTAAATTAATAAAAAATCAAAAAATTAGAATTTAAATTGATAAAATTAAAAACTGAAGCTTGTTTTTTTCACAAAATTCAAACTCTGGTTTTTTATTATTTTTCTTTGTGTAATTCCCCCCCGCCTCCCCCCCAAAAAAAATTCCAATATAAACATGCTCTGCTTTACCCAAATGCAACTTTATTGAAAACTTGTAAAAAAAGCCTTGATGAATGACCTTGAAGGCATATACATTTGATTCAATAAATAAATACGTATAACTAGTTTTTTATGATAGGGAAATTACTATACTATCTCTCAAGACATTAATTTGCCAACCTAAAAGTAGAAAGGGAAGACAATAGAAAGAGGTCTTCCTTCCATCCTCAGTAGCTTCTTCCATCGCATTTCTCATCGACGCCATTGTCTTTCCTCATCCAAACACCATTCTGATCACATGGGAAAGAATTGACGCCAAGACATTCTACTTTCTCCAAGTAAATCAAATTGGGAAATAACATCGTAATATCTTTCCAAGGCATCTCTAAGTTACTCAAGTACTTCAATTGTAACATTTCAACTGTGGTAGCTACTATTTTGTCCAGATTACACAATAGTCCTCCTCTGATGTAAAGTTTCTTCAAGTTCTTCAAATTGCCAGACCTCAACCAACTGGGTGTATCTTTCTTAGGAAAGCACTCAAGCTCTAGTTTTTGCAACGATGAAGGAAGTTCCAATGAGGGAGGAAGTTCTGGATCTTGCTTCTCAGTGAATGATCTTAACGATATTGTCTGCTTGGAAAATAGTTGTGCTTGCTTAGGTGAATCATCAGATTTACCTCGTAAAATACATCCTGACCAAGATATTTTCAACTTTTGTAAGAATTTTAATCTTTGTAAATGATGAAGTTGCAGATATGTGGGAAATTCTTTCATACTTGTGGATATGCTCAATTTTCGCAACTTTGACAATTTTGTCAAATCATTGATAGTACACGACTTTTTGTCCAGGGAATCTCCAATAATAAATCCCTTAAGGACTTGGAGTTCAGATAGTGCACCAAGCCCGTTCGGCATGTGATCTAAAAGGTAACACTCAGATATGTCCAAGTGTGTCAAATTCTTAAGCAAGCTAATCCAATTTGGAATCACCTCAAGATTGTGACACGCTTTGAGATCTAGAATTTTAAGATTAGTTAGTTGTGAAATGAACTGAGGAAGCTCTATAATCAAAGAAATTCCTCGAAGGCTAAGAAATCTCAATTGTTTCATATTCTTGAGTGCATTGAGAATTTTGATGTCTGCAACTTCAATGTGATGTGTGACTGAGTTCTGCCACCTTCCCAAGTAAACAATTCTGAAATAATTGTGGTTGAAAAACCGTTCAAACCTGCTATCAATAATAGCCTCACCAAAGTTGAGGAAGCATTGATGATTATAATCGGGAGGAAATCGAAGAACAAGAGTATCTGAATCCATAATACACCCTGGTCTATGCCAAACCTGCTTTATAGCAGAACGTGTGTTGGAGTGCATCCTGTAGCTATCGATGACCAAGCCACAATTTTTGTAGATAGGCTCGATGAAGCCCTTTTCAGTAAGCTCGTCCAACAACTCGTTGACAAAATCCTCTGCCGTCTTCCCCAACACAATTTCTGCTTCTGTATTTTGGTCCACTAACCTTATTGGGGATAGAAGTCCCTCTCCAATCCACCAGTAAATGATAAACCTTTTCTTTATAGTAGCCATTTCTGCGAACATCAAGAAAAAATCCAAACAAGATTTTAGTTTCAGGGGGAGGCTACGAAAAGATACCTGGATATCTTCAAGTGCAGTGGTGGGATCAAACTTTGGCTGATTGTACAAACTGTGCAAATTGCCGGCCTTGTTTTCATTGACTTGGTAGTTGCTGCTGCTGCTGTTAATGGATCCATCAAACCATGGTTTCCGATGTCGTTTTGAATCATCATCATAATGGATCTTAAGCTTGGAGGGAATCTGGGATTTCAACTTCATGACAGACATTTTCAGTTGGTCAAGTTCGTTAGTATCACTCCCTCCTCTTGTTTTGAGCTCCTCAAATTTCTCACAAGCCTGGTTGATTTGCACATACATATGATCTACAAACTTCTGAATCTCTGTCATGGTCTCTTTCAGGAAATTAAGATCTCGACCAATCATGTTAGTGAGATCAGGATCTCCAACTTGGTTGTCGTCGTTGTTGTTTGTGGCGGTGGTTGCTTTGTGGTGGTGGTTGTTAAGTGGATTTGGTAGGGAGATACTACTGTCCATGGCTTTGAAAGGAACTACTACCAAAACAGGGTCGTGTTGGAGTCTTGGCTAGAGTTAAGAGAGACAGAGAGACAGAGTGAACACGTTTCTTCTTTGATCGTTTGTCTAGGTTTCAAATAGAAAAATGGATCATGAGAGAGAGTGAACACGTTTTTTCTTTGATAGTCAGGGTTTCAAAGAGAGATGGATCATGAGAGAGAAGAGAGAGGAAAGTCCAACGTATCGAATAATTTGTGGAGAAAGAGAGAGGAAAGTGACGAAGTAAGGACTGAGAAAAGGTGCAAAAGAGATAAGGAAGGAGCGGACCCAGTTGTTGAAGCCGCAGAAGAGATAAAGGAAGGAGCAGACCCAGTTGTTGAAGCCGCGTGGTTTTGGTGGTATCCGAAACTTCGTTGGTTTATCATTTTCAAATTATTGACATTAATGTAAAGGAGATATTAATGTAAGAGGAGATATTAATGTAAAGGAGATTTTTTAAAAAGTCCTTAATATTAAAATTTTATAAAATAAATCACATATAATATTTTTATAATAATTAAAAAAAAATTATAGTTTTATAAATAAAAAAAAAATTGATACAGAAAAATTTTATCCAAATATAAAGAAATTTTAATTTTTCCAAAGAAATTTCTCTGGTATAATCACAGAGAAATTTCATTAAAGAATCTTACTAAATAACCCCTTATACTTTTATCAGCATACTTTTTTTTTTTATATATCTTTTTTGGATCATATTACCTCTTTATTTTTTTTTAATAAATTTTTTTAAAAATATACTTATTTAAATTATCCTAAATAACCCCTTATACTTTTATCAGCATACTTTTTTTTTTTATATATCTTTTTTGGATCATATTACCTCTTTATTTTTTTGTCTATTTTTTTGATAAAATTTTTTAAAAATATACTTATTTAAATTATCCTAAATAACCCCTTATACTTTTATCAGCATACTTTTTTTTTTTTATATATCTTTTTTGGATCATATTACCTCTTTATTTTTTTGTATATTTTTTTAATAAAAATTTTAAAAAATATACTTATTTAAATTATCCTAAATAACCCCTTATACTTTTATCAGCATACTTTTTTTTTTTTATTTATCTTTTTTGGATCATATTACCTCTCTACTTTTTTTACGCATATTTTTATAAAGATCATCGCAAATACCCTTTTGATAAGTTTCATTTCTCTTCTAATCTTTCTACTTTTGAAGAGATTGAAAACACGGGTTATGAGATAAATCTATTCCTCACTATTTCTTTCTATTTTTCTCATATTTGGCAATCCAAACAAGTAATTAAAATTTATTTGCTTCCATTTCATTTTTTTTTTCTCTCTAAATCAATCAAACCAAACGAAGTATTAGCAAAACATTTTTTGACAGATTCATGAATTAGTCGTAATATTTACACATTATTATTCATAACATGACACAATATTTGTCAGGTAATCACAATTGGTGCGTATAATTTTATTCTTCACAAATCTTACTTTATTCATATTATAAATTCACCATTCATAATTTTTATGACAAAGTGACACAACGCACACCACAAACGTATCTAACTTTTTTTTTACAAAATACAATAATCAATAAATACATTTTCTTGAACGTGCCATCAATTTTTTTTTTTTTTTGATAAATGTGCCACCAAATGTTTTTCATTCCCAAAACATGTGAATTCTCAAAATTAATTATAAAAAAGATGTGTCATAAAAAAATAATTAACAGATAATTTTTTGCGTTGAAAATTATAAATATTATTTGTGGTATGTTTGGTCAGTTTATGATCTTTTTATCTAAAGTGAAAATTACAAATCATTATAATTATGTTATTAACATTATAATTATGTTATGAATGATACAGTATAAATATTATGTAACACCCCGATATTCATACCACAAAAATTTTTAATTAGTCTATCATTATCATCCAATAACTTATCCTCGATATACACAAGAAATAAGAATCATAATTCTATAACATAAATCCAATACATACGCATAAAAATACACTTACAAACACCTTGAATATAAATTTATACATTTCCATTTGCCATAAGGGCTTACACATTTCAAACAAGGGTCTTAGCTTCAACAAGAAAATCCCACTTAATACATAAAGTTAATAACAGTAGGTAATGACGTCTAGGAAGCTTCAATGCCCCGCACTAACTCCCATTCACTTTCAACTATGTCTTGGTTCATCTTCATCACCTAGAATTTAAGAATATCCAACCCACAAGACGCCGAGTAGGAGATAAACTTAACCACTTTAAATATATATGTTCAATATGATTTATGCTCATGCAATGTCATGCCATGCATATAACTTAACATGTCTGCAACTCAATTTATGAAATGCTTAATTTATAACACACGTTAACCCAACAAATCATAGTTGTTGAAATCAACACCTTTTATTTATTTGTGTTAAACTCCACGTACATATCACAACACCTCCACATTTACTGGCCACCAAGCACAGTAGGGCAAGTGGGCACCTCTTATTTCTTAAAAATCTCCACATTTACCGGCCACCAAGCACGAAGGGGCAATTGGACACTATAGCGATCCCGGTTGTCCCTTTACTGTTCTGTTGTATTCCGGACTCGGTTCCTTGGAATTGGTAGTTGTATCTATCTTATTGTCGTCCTTTAATTCCATTTGTTTGAGTTTTAGGATGTATTGGGTATGTTTTGAACAGGTGGGTTGAACCTTGGTCTAAAATCTTGTTGCCAGGTTTTTGGTCGTTCCGCTCCAGCGGGCCTTATTGCGCTCGAGCGAAGATTGCACACTCTCAGTATTTCGTGTCCCTGCAAAACTTCTGCAAGTGTGATTTTTACGCTCGAGCGCGCGGTCGCGCTCGAGCGGGTAGTACTTTTTGGTGTAAGTTTTGGGAGGAAGAAATCTACACTCGAGTGGACTGGTTTTCGCGCTCGAGCGGATGCACTTTATTCTTGTGTCTTGGCACTCGAGCGGGACTTCTTGTGCTCGAGCGTACCTAGTTTTTTGTTCTTGACACTCGAGCGTTGTGTTCTCCGCTCGAGCGGGAATGTCATATATCAGTTGGCAGCTGGGCATTTTAAAATCGCTTTTTACATTCTCTCTCTCTCTCTTACTTTTTAAAAAAGTATTTTGAGAGCTCCTCTCTCTAGAAACTCCCTTCTCTCTAGGGTTTGATCTAGTTAGAGTGTCTCCCTATCCTCCGGCCTTTGTAAAAAGTGTGTTGATTGTCGAGGGTTCCATTTTGATCCGTGGATCTTTGAGTTTAGAGCATTTTGGTTTTTTTCAACTTTCCCGTTTGAGCTCTAACTTCGAGGTAGGGATATCCTACTCCTTCTCATGAGTTTTGTCTTTGAATTTTAGTATTTTGATGAGTTGGGGGTTGCTGGGTAATTTTGAGAAAGTTTGGGCCTTTGTGTAATTTTATAAAAATTGGGGTTTTGTTTATATAAACTTATATGCATGTTTGGCATAGAGAAATGAGATCAATATTGGTTTATTGGTGAAAATGAAACCTTAGGGTTGTGATGTTAATTATGGGAAATGCTCTAATTACATTGATAAATTAATTGGTATAATTAATTTGAAGAAAAGAAGAATTAAATTGAGAATGTTGGAATTGGATGTGTATGGGATTAAAGGGTGTAGTTTGATTCGTTCATCGCTCACCTAGTTGAAATGTTGATTATATATCCATTTGGTGCATTTATTTTCAGTATAGAAATAACTTCTTTGGGCTATCGGTGGAGGATAGTCTTGATTGTTGTAGACACTGTATGAAGATTAGGCAAACTAAAACTAATCGATTGAGTATGCTATTGAATATAGCAACTGGAATAATACATTAATTCTATGTATTGATTGATTGTATATGATCTATGTTTATATACATGTGTTGTGTGGGAGGAGATGGAGGATGTACTCCACGGTTTAGAGGAAGATAGGGGATGGACCTTTAAACCAGATTTTGTGTGACATTGATACAGCACTACAATGTGTATCAAGTGTTGATTATGGAAGTGTTTGAATTGATTTGATATAGCACTAAAATGTATATCGTTATCAATTATAAAGTATAGAAGTGATTCTATGTTATGTTGATACAGCACCGAAATGTGCATCTTTCGCAAAGTGTGAGAATGGTTTATGTGTTATAGATACAACATTAAAATGTGTATCCCTCATGAATTTTGAAAGTGTTTTAAAGATGAGTCCAAATCTCATTAAGTTATTTGGCTAGGTGTTGAGCCTTGTTTTCAAACTCAAAGTTGGAAAAGACATGAGAAATGAAATGTAACATGGACTTAATGTCATGAAATCGAAATGTGATATATGTGGATGTATCTGTGTTGACCATCTATCAACTGCTAATCTTTTAGTCATTGTTCATGGCTGGTTTAGTGTATTTCTACTGGGCTATGGCTCACCCTTTATGGGACATCATTTTCAGGTACAGGTAGCATGCTACCTCCAAGGACATAGCTTGGGAGGCTAGAGGCAGACAGACTGCTTTGTTATTTGTTTTCTTTTGATGGATTACATGTAAATTCAAGCCAAGGGCTTAATATGTATTGAGTTAGTACTCTTCTTTTTGTAACCAAGTGTTAACTTGGAATGCTGTAAGCCCGTAGGGCATTTGCTCTTGTTGTTAACATGTAATACTTATGTAAGAACTACTCAAATTAATGGAAAGATGGTTGGTTTCTTTGTATCAATGCATGTCTAAAGAGATGGGTCTCATGTATTTTTTTGAGGGCGTTACAGACACCCATTTCTGCTAAATACGTCTCCATATTTTCCGGCCACCGAGTATGGAGGGCAAGTGGACACCCATCAATCATTTCAACGTTTCCACCACATTTATCGGCCACCGAGCAAGGAAGAGCAATTAGGCACCTTTACCAAAATACCATTAACACCCCACATTTTTCCGACCTCCGAGTACAAAAGGGCAATTGGGCACCTTAACACACGCGAAGCACTTTCACGA